CCAGTATGCAATATCATTATGGGTTGCAAAACCCTGAAGTTCTTGCAACAACTGTTCTTCTGGGCAGGTAGGGGGACTAAAAATTGAAAATATCATACGATAATAAATGGTCTGAGATGCTACCTCTTTGGCAATTCTATCTGCTAGTGCATTGCCTAGGGATATATCATCCCTACCTTGAGTGTGAGCTCTACAGTGAATGATAGACACTGTACGAGGAAGTTGCAAAACATGCAAGAGGTCTTCAATTAATGTCTTATGAGAAATGCCTTTACCATCAGCTGCAATGAATCCTCTTTGTTTCCAAATCATTCCAAAATCATGCACAACCCCATGAGCGTAACGTGAGTCAGTGTAAATATTTACATCTTTGTTAGTGAATAGAGTGCATGCACGTGTGAGGGCAACCAACTCAGCAGCTTGGGCTGACATGTGGGGTATGGAGCTAGCCTCAAGGACCTTATCAGGTAATTGGACTACTGCATACCCAGTCTGGTACTGACCGTCAACAGGTCGGGAACAAGATCCATCCACAAACACATCCTCAGAACCTGGCTGAGGGGTATCCATGAGGTCTAAGCGTGGGGAGGTATGTGTATGTATAGTATGAATACAGTCATGTTCTTCTGGCTGAGTTTTGCTTAGATTAGGGTTGTCATGAGTAAGGATGGCATGCAGTACACTCATAGGGCCAGAATTAATAGGGCCGTACTTGATCTGTAAATTAGTAGAATTTAAGAGAATTATTTCATAACCACTTAATCTTTGTGCTGTCATGTGTTGTGTAGTGAGATTCTTGATCAAATGCAACACTTGGTGTGATGTATGGAGAATAGTGGGATGGCCCAGAGTGATAGTAGTAGCAGTCTCAACAGCCATTGCACAAGCAGTCAGGGCCCTAAGACACGCCGGCATCCCCTGAACCGGAACAGGGACTACTTTGGAGAAAAATGCTACAGGACGCATACCACCTCCATGTTCCTGAGCACAGACCGCAGCCATGGTTTTACAGTTGTCCCTTGCATAAAGATGAAATGGTTTACAATAATTAGGCAGTCCTAAAGCTGGGGCCTGCATAATGCCTACTTTAAGTGCCACATATGCATTGTCCATTTCAGGTGACCATCTGATGTAATCTGGGCTGTCCCCTTTTACAGCCATTCTCAAAATTGAGTCGTAGTATGAACATTCAGGTATCCACTGGCGACAGTAATTGATCATACCCAAGAAGGTGAGCAACTCCTTCTTTGTAACAGGTTTGGGTATCCTTTGTAGAGCTTCAATACGTTTGGAGCTGAGGGAGCGTGTGCCTTGTTGTAACACAAATCCCAGATAGTCAACCTTCTCTGCACCCAATTGGATTTTATGCTTGGCTACCTTGTGGCCTTCCAGTGCTAAATGTTTCAATAAGCTGACAGTGTCTTGTGTGCTGGCTTCCCAGTCAGGACTGCACAGCAGTATATCATCAACATACTGCAGCAGGACGGAACCATGACCAGGGGTCCATGACTTAAGGGTTTGTTGGAGCACCAGCGAATAAACAGCTGGTGAGTCCACGTAGCCCTGGGGAAGGCGAGTCCAGGTGTACTGAACCCCCTCAAAAGTGAAAGCCATAAGTAGTTGTGTCTCTTGGTCAACAGGGACCGAGAAAAATGCATTACTTAAGTCAATGACTGTAAAATACTTAGCTTCATGAGGAATGGCTGTTATCAGAGTGTTAACATCAGGGACAATGGGGGCTATTGGAATAATCAAATTGTTAATGGCCCTAAGGTCTTGAACAAATCTGTAGTCCTTGGTAGCCTTAGGGACCGGGTTAATAGGGGAGTTATAGGGGGAGACTACAGGCCTGAGTATACCCTGTTGAAGGAAGGACTGGATCATAGGTCTGATCCCATCCTTCTTTTCCTGTGACAGGGGATACTGTTTAATATAAATTGGGCTGACATCTGGACGTAGTTTTGCTTTATAAGGGGTACAGTTTATGTATCCTACATCTAGCTTGGATGAAGCCCATACAGAAGCAGGTACCTCATCCATATCCATCTGCAGAAAAATTCCAGAGGATGGGGCAGTAAGGGAAACTGCCATACCACCCTCAGGGGAAAAATCCACAGTTGTACCCAGTAGTCCAAGGAGATCCCTCCCTAGGAGACTAACAGGGCACCCTGGGATTAGGCTAAACTGGTGGCGTAGAGAAATAGGGGAGTGGGGTAATTTAATTTCCAAAGGGATAGTTTTGAAGGTTTTTGTTAACACTCCATTTATTCCCACAGAAGGTGTCGACTTTTCCCTTGAACCTCTATATACATCCATACAAATGGTGGAACAGGTTGCACCCGTGTCTACAATAAAGGGCATGTCCCTCCCATTTACATTGAGGACTATAAAGGGTTGTTCCATAAAATTAGAGGACAATACAGGAAAAGCTGGAGTGTTACCTTCTGGGCAGCCCTATGGCCATTGAATGTGATGGGTAGGGCCAGATGAAGTTTTAGGGCCAGAGGGGGTATTAGGGGCAGGAGAGCGATGCTGTGGGGGGTAGTGGGGCTGTTGGGGTATCCATGGGCGACCTGGGGTCTGTTCAGCCTGTCCAGTCTTTTGTCTGATAGGGTTGGGGCACCCATTCATCCAGTGTCCCTGCCTTCCACAGTTAAAACAATATGTCCTTCTATTAATAAATGGTTGGGACCTATTTCCTCCACGTCCTCTTCCCCCTGGACCCCTAAATCCTCTTTGGTTTAGTCTCCTATCACCTCCAAAACCTCTCTCTCTTGCCTGATTAGGGTCACAATGCTGTAAACCCTGTGACTGATACAACATACTCTTTCCATCTTTACCAATAGCAAAACAACCTGCTGCTTCTCTCTCATGTATTTTCTGCAAGAATTTAACTGGAGTTAAAGTTGACCACTCTGAAATCAGCTGTTTAACTAGCAGTGAATATGCTGGAAGCATATTCCCAATGCAAGTCTGTATTTTTAAAGAACCCATACCACTTTCCTCTGAACCAAGTCCAGCTTCATCTTTCCAACATTTATAAAACCTTCTAGTGAATTCTGTCACTGTCTCCTTTGTGCCCTGTTTACAGGACAAAGCAGTGGAGATAGACTGCTTGTCTTTCCATAATCTCATCATCTCTGTTTTTACTTCATCCCACATAATGTCTCTCCCTTTTTCCGTGGCTAATGGATAAGTACTCACTGTGGTTCCATCAAGTGGAACACTGACAGTGGTTACTCTACTCCATTCCCACCCAGATTCTGAGTCATAATCTAATAGTCCATCAATAATTAACTTTATGTCAATCTGTGTCATATTCTGTCCTTGGCACATTCTCTTCAAGTACATGATACATGCAGAAGGATTCGTTCTAGGATTTGGAGCTCCTTTAATTATGTCCTTCAATTCTCCTGGAGTTAAAGGTTTCAAAATTAATTGATCTCCGACAGTCAGAAAAGGATATGTCTGTTGAGTGTCTAATTAATCAAATTCTTCTTCCCCTTCCTCCTCTCCATCATCTTTATCTGTTCTTTTAACACCCAGCCCCATCTTTTTCTTAAACCTTGTCTGGATACCCTTAGGGGACCTTCGCTGAATTTGTTTAACCTTCTCATCTTGGGGAGAAAGGGAACTTGATGGAGCAGTGGCTATTCTTTGTGATCCAACTGCTACAGCAAGAACTAAATCATCATCATTTTTAGGTAATAGGTTAGGATATAGTGGGCTAAAGTATGGGGTGTAATTAGGAGGAGGCTGTGATTTGCAGGTATTAACAACAGTTTCTTTAATTTTCTTTTTATTCTTTTTATTCTTTTTTATCCTTTTCCCCTCTTGGGAAACAGGGTACCAGTGAGGTGCAATCTTAAGCCAATTCTCACCCCCCTGTCTCATGTATTCTTTGTCCCATTCTGGATCTCCCTCATACCAAGGAAAAGATTTCTTATCTTCCAAACATAATCCCTTAACCATACTCAGAAAATAATCATCATTAGCCCCGTCTTTAGGGAAGGGAGTTTCACTGCCCTGTCCTTGTGTCCACCCTGACAAATTGTCCACCCAAGGATCCACTAAATAATCCCCCAGTTCACCAACTCTAGCAACATACTGCTTGCAAGTCTCCCCTGGATTAGGGCGAGGGTATTTTTTAGACTGGGAAGTACCCATTTCAAACTCAATAAGAATCGGATTTGGAATAGCTGATTATTCAGTGGTTAAAGAACAGCTGTCTGGAATCAAAAGTTCCCACAAAACTGTTACTTCTCCACGAGCAGTATCGCTTAAAACCAGAAATTCCAATTCCTTGCACAATTATATAAAAAGCCAACAAATATATTGCATGCAAAAAAAAGTTGCAGGACAGCCAAAATACCCATCAAGTACAGAGTTAACAATTCTGTTCCTTTTTTTTTTTTTTAACAAACTAACAACCAAGTTAAATCAATACCAAAGTCCACCAAAGACTGGAAATCTGTTTTACAACCTACCAAAGGTAACCTCTACCAAAGAGGGGTCTAGGGACGTCTCCCATAGACAAGTAAGGCTTTACTCCTACCCAAGGAGACCTTATAAAATCTTAAATCCCCTTTTAATAAAAACGTAGCTATGCAATGTATGAAGGATGGAAAAAGAAAAGTAAAAGAACAAAGGTGAAAAAGACACCCAATCCTCTTACCTGATCTTTTTCGTTCCGTTCACAAATGCACCCCAAAACTTCTGACACCAATTTGTAGGGGATAGGATGGATATTTTGCCGGAGCTGCACCCTCTTTATCAGACAGGATCCTGGGAATCAGTCAAGAAGACAAGAGATGTGTTCTATAACCAATTCAAATTTTAATTGATACATCAGTTATACTTATACCCCATTTTCATGTCGGTGGGGGTCATTGAGCATTGTGACATAGTTTATTTTTCACAAGTTGTTTTCAGTTATAATTCGATGTTACATAATGTATGCATATTGGATAAAACCCAGATGATTACAAATAAGAAATCTTGGACAATTAACAAGGTCATTCCAGAATCCTTATCATGTCATGTCATGTCATGTCATGTCACGCCATGTCATGTCATGTCATGTCATGTCATGTCACGCAAATATCTTCTTTCCAGGAACATGACAAAATCATGCTTCAATAACATTTCTGAGAATTGGAGATACAATTCCAAATTTATTCTTGATTCAAATTAACCCTTACATGAACAGTTAGGATATAGAGCAAAATGGATATTCATATCCTACAGTAGGGTAATGTAATCATTCTTCAAACTATTATTTGGATGACATTCAATAAATATATTGATTCATGAATTGATGTATACATGTATAGTGGTACAATAAGCACATTTATTTAATTATCTCAGTCAGTAATTTAACTCCTTAAGGAACGCATGACGGGCTATGCCTTCATGCAGGACATTAACAGGACATTAACACCTGACGATGGCATAGATAAGAGTATCAGTAGGGTTAAATCCCTGCTGGTATCATGGAGCCCCAAGTATCCATAGATATTTGATGGTTCCCTCAGTCAGCTAGGGCCACAAAGAGTTACCCCAGACTGACAGATGAGCTATGTTCAGTGCTCTAAGTGAGCATTGCACATGGCCCTTTAAATACTTTGGCTGATACCTGAGGGTTTCTTCTGTGAACTGTGGCCATAGTGAGTGGCCCCAGGCTGACATATGAGCTACTGCAAAAGAGTGCAGCACATGGCTCTTTAGATTAATTCAAACACCTGAAAAGACACCGTGATGGGTCTACCTGCTTGTTCCTCTGCTCAGTGATCAATACTTGGCTTTTCCAGTTCGTGGAAATGCAGCATGAGAATTGGATCTCCCTCTCATGCTGCAATTACACTGTACAGAGAGATATTATTGGATGGATTAGAGATAGGCTTATGGGTTGGATTATGGGTAGGATTAGGGGTTTGTTTAGAGATATGGTTGTGGGTAGGATTATGGGTAGAATTAGAGTTTGTATTCAGGGTTGGATTAGGGGAATTTTTATTTTTTTTGCAAAGTTTTAGCTTTAAGACCATAATTCACACCTTGAAATATTTGTTTTTTAACTTCTAAAAATTAATTGAATACTAGACATATTGAGCATTTTAACAATTAGTAAATCACGCACACAGTGCATGAAAAAGTTTTAATAATTTAATAAGCAGCCTTTTCTTTTTGGGTCATCTTTTAATAGGTGCCAATGTTTGTTTATGGTCTTATATATACGTTTATTATGCCCATTAAAATCACAAATAAAAGGAACTTCATTAGTGTAAATTTGTGTTTTTTTTTTGGTTTGTATTGGATAAGTTGGTTTCTTTTTAATTTTCCTACCTCTTCTAAATCTTGATTTAAAGATGTTTCATTATACCCCTTTTCCATATACTGCTGTTTAATATAAGTAGCCTGTTCTATATAATCGCTATCTAATTTGCAGTTACGGCGGATCCTTAAAAATTGGCTCTTAGGAGCGTTATGGAGCCAAGGTTTATGGTGGCAACTGCTGATGTCAATGTAACTATTAGCATCCACTGGTTTAAAATGATTGCTAGTGACTATCATGGTGTCTTGAATCCTGATATCAAGATCTAAAAAGTTTATATTGGATTTGCTATAGTTGCAGGTTAAATTGATTCCATAATCATTGGTGTTGAGGTGTACAATGAATGCCTTTAGAGCCTCTGTGGTACCAGTCCATATGAAAAAAATGTCATCTATAAAACGGCAGTAGGACACCAAACTCGCCCCCCACAGATGGCCTTGTAGTACAAATGCCTCTTCCCAAAAGGCCATAAAAAGGTTGGCATAGCTCGGGGCGAATTTGGTGCCCATTGCCGTCCCACAGATTTGGAGGTAGAAAGTGTTTTCGAACCAGAAATAATTGTGGGTTAAGATTAATAAAATTCCTTCTAAAATATACTGGATTTGTTAAAAAATGTTTCACTGCTGTTATTCCTTTGTCATGAGGTATAATACTATATAATGCGGTTACGTCACATGTTACTAATATGTTTCCTTCTGTCCATTTTGTTTGTTCTAAAATTTGTAAAGCATGGATCGTATCTTTAAGGTATGTAGGGTTTTTTTATAACGATTGGCTGAAGGATAGTATCTATATACTCGGAGATTCTAGTAGAGATTGAATCTATACCCAATATAATTGGTCTTCCTGGAGGGTTAGTTGTATTTTTATGAATTTTTGGTAATAAATAAAAGACCGGTATTTTGGGATTATCTATCCACAAATAATCTGCCTCTTTTTCAGATTCCTACATTTTTTCCTTTCTCCATTTACTGGTTAAAAATCTTTATAGTTGCATTTGTAGGATTATATGTTAGTTTCTGATAGAATACTTTCAGATTCCTCAACCTATCTGCTTCTTTAATATATGACTCTTTGTCAAGAATTACTGTTCCTCCTCCCTTATCTGCGGGTTTAATTACTAGTTGATCATCATTTTTAATTACATTTAAGGCTTTCTTTTCTTCTATTGACAAATTTTGTTTATATTTATTAATTTTCCTGAATTTCTCTACATCCTTCATCACCATAGTTTCAAAGGTTTGAATTGCATCTGAAATTAGGTGTCTTGGGAAGAATTGCGATTTCAATTTAAGCGGTGTGTGGAAGTATCCATCATTTCGTTCTTCTTGCAAATTATTTTCTTTATTCTAAAAAAAAATTTTTAAGCATAATTTTCTTTTATAGAAACATAGAAACATAGAAACATAGAGTGTGACGGCAGATAAGAACCATTCGGCCCATCTAGTCTGCCCAATTTTCTAAAAACTTTCATTAGTCCCTAGCCTTATCTTATAGTTAGGATAGCCTTATGCCTATCCCACGCATGCTTAAACTCCTTTACTGTGTTAACCTCTACCACTTCAGCTGGAAGGCTATTCCATGCATCCACTACCCTCTCAGTAAAGTAATACTTCCTGATATTATTTTTAAACCTTTGTCCCTCTAATTTAAGACTATGTCCTCTTGTTGTGGTAGTTTTTCTTCTTTTAAATATAGTCTCCTCCTTTACTGTGTTGATTCCCTTTATATATTTAAATGTTTCTATCATATCCCCCCTGTCTCGTCTTTCCTCCAAGCTATACATGTTAAGATCCTTTAACCTTTCCTGGTAAGTTTTATCCCGCAATCCATGAACCAGTTTAGTAGCCCTTCTCTGAACCCTCTCTAAGGTATCAATATCCTTCTGAAGATACGGTCTCCAGTACTGTGTACAATACTCCAAGTGAGGTCTCACCAGTGTTCTGTACAATGGCATGAGCACTTCCCTCTTTCTACTGCTAATACCTCTCCCTATACAACCAAGCATTCTGCTAGCATTTCCTGCTGCTCTATTACATTGTCTGCCTACCTTTAAGTCATCAGAAATAATCACCCCTAAATCCCTTTCCTCATATGTTGAGGTTAGGACTCTATCAAATATTCTGTACTCTGCCCTTGGGTTTTTACGTCCAAGATGCATTATCTTGCACTTATCCACATTAAATGTCAGTTGCCACAATTCTGACCATTTTTCTAGTTTACCTAAATCATTTGTCATTTGGCTTATCCCTCCTGGAACATCAACCCTGTTACATATCTTAGTATCATCAGCAAAAAGACATACCTTACCATCAAGACCTTCTGCAATATCACTAATAAAAATATTAAAGAGAATGGGTCCAAGTACAGATCCCTGAGGTACCCCACTGGTGACAAGTCCAAGCTTCGAATATATTCCATTAACTACAACCCTCTGTTGCCTGTCACTCAGCCACTGTCTTACCCATTCAACAATATTGGAATCCAAACTTAAAGATTGCAGTTTATTGATAAGCCTTCTATGTGCAACAGTGTCAAAAGCCTTACTGAAATCTAGGTAAGCAATGTCTACTGCACCACCCTGATCTATAATTTTAGTTACCCAATCAAAAAATCAATAAGATTAGTTTGGCATGATCTCCCTGAAGTAAACCCATGTTGTCTCTGATCTTGAAATCCATGTGTTTTTAGATGTTCATCAATCCTATCCTTTAACATGGTTTCCATCACTTTCCCCACTACTGAAGTAAGGCTTACTGGCCTATAGTTGCCGACTCCTCCCTATTACCTTTCTTGTAAATGGGCACAACATTCGCTAACTTCCAATCTTCTGGGACTACTCCTGTTAACAATGATTGGTTAAATAAATCTGTTAATGGTTTTGCTAGTACACCACTAAGCTCTTTTAATAGCTTTGGGTGTATTCCATCAGGTCCCATTGACTTATTTGTCTTTACTTTTGACAGTTGAAATAGAACCTCTTCCTCTGTAAACTCACGTGTAATAAATGACTCATTTATCCTTTTTCTCAACTGAGGTCCCTTTCCTTCATTTTCATCTGTAAATACAGAACAAAAATATTCATTGAGGCAGTCAGCCTGGACCTTTATCCTCTTCTACATACCTTCCTTCTTTTGTTTTTAATCTAACTAATCCTTGTTTTACTTTTCTTTTCTCATTTATGTATCTAAAAAATGTTTTATCCCCCTTTTTTACTGACTGTGCTATTTTCTCTTCTGTGTGTGATTTGGAAGCTCTTATAACTTGCTTAGCCTCTTTCTGCCTAATCTTATAGATCATTTTGTCTTCCTCACTCTGGTTTTTTTTTATAATTCCTAAATGCTAACTTTTTGTTTTTAACTATTTTGGCCACATCTGCGGAGTACCACAGTGGTTTCTTGAATTTTTTGCTTTTACTGACAAGCCTAATGCAATTTTCTGTTGCCTTCAATAGTGCAACTTTTAAATAATCCCATTTTTCTTGGACTCCATTTAAATTGCTCCAGTCTGATAATGACTCCTCTACCCATATTCTAATTTTAGAAAAGTCTGTTTTTCTAAAGTCTAAAACTTTTGTTTTTGTGTGGTGTGACTCAGTCACTGTTCTTATATTAAACCACACTGACTGATGATCACTGGATCCTAAACTTTCACCTACAGTAATATCTGATACCAAATCTCCATTTGTTAACACTAAATCTAGTATGGCCTCTTTACGAGTTGGCTCCTCAACAACTTGTTTTAGAGACAATTCCAGTAGGGAGTTTAGAATATGTGTGCTCCTGGCACAAGTAGCTAATTTTGTTTTCCAATTTACATCAGGAAGATTAAAGTCACCCATGATGATAACTTCCCCCTTCATTGTCATTTTAGCTATTTCCTCAACTAG